CACTGTTGCAATATATTGAATGGTATAAAAGTTGCTGCATATACGCAGTCGATGCAAGCTAAAGAAAGTTTAAGTCTTCTTTTTACATGTCTAGTTATATAAAAGCATAATACACTTTACTTCATGCCAATCACCATTTCTGTCACCGGAGATTAGTAAACTGCAAAAGCAGAGTTTCATCCCTTCAGGAATTAATTGTTGGAAATTTTAAAACTGTAAAATTTTGATGCTTTTTATACTTTTCATTTTTGTCTGCTTATCTTCGCCATATTTCTTTCTTAAACCAATTAACTTTTCCCCATGCTTATTGCTGTTTCTGTACCTGATTTGACTTTAAATTTGTGCACTCTAATGTACCTCCTTCTTAGTTCTGGAAGTTCTATTTGCTGAGGGAAAGAGACACAGTTACTTGTCCTGCTCACTATTCCTCCCTTCACAGCTATCAGCTCCCTAGTTTCAATAGTTAAAACTAAACACAGTTAAAAACTAAACGTTCAAAGGCAAATGGAAATCACAGCAGGTTCCATTAGCTATCTTGTTTCAGTAAATTATGGCTCTTTGAAACACTGTGTTGAAACATAATGTGCCATGCGAAGACTGGAGGACATTACTGCTGGCATATCTTTTTAAGGTTGAAAAGAAAGTGTAAAGAGTAGCTGGTCCAGGAGTGAAATCCATTGGCAACAAGATAGGTCTCAGAAAGAAGCATTTTCAATGAGGATCATTCTCACTTAAACCACTGACTGAAAAATGGATGGGTTTACACTGGAAGTTTTACAGCTCTCCCATTGAAGTAATTGTGAAATGGAATTTGAGCAGAGAGTGAAACAAGACGGGATATCAAAATCACCCAACTCCTCTAGATAAAAATGACCTCTCACGATCTCAACGTCAGTCCAATTAATTTCATCTGACGAGGATTATATAGCTCTGCTGCCTTTTGCAGCCTTTAGCAGGACAGAAAATGACAGACAGAATCAGCCCTGTGTACAGATTCGGACAGGCCACCTATTAGAAACCATCAGCATTCAGGAAGTGATGAAGTAGGTGAAGCGTGAATGACTTGAAAGCCAAAAAATCAGGAATAAAACCTAGGTACAGAGAGAATATACTGCAATCTAATGTACCATTATTTTTATAATTACTGACATTGAGAGCATACAGCGAGAGATGCATGCCCTGAATTGGTTCCAGGTCTCTGTAGAATGTTAAATTTATGCCCTGCCGACAGCCCGATTGATTGAAAAAAGTAGTACAGTGAAAGGAACTGGTTCATTTCCTCTTCTGCATGCTGCCCCCACTTTATTGGTGAAAGTGGCAATTCCAGCTGAGAGACTAAATGCTGCCTCACCGTTTCAGCTTCAGTGAGCACTGGACTGGCCAGATTGTTGGACACCAGGGAGTTGGAAGTTTAATTTGATCCTGCTCTTCTCCGACACCCACAGCCACCAGCAGGAGTCAGAGAACATCTCAGTGTTTGCCGCCGTAATGTAGGGTCTATTTTAACTCAAACTCTCAAGGCAAACCCGACTTGCTGGTACCCAGCTCCCGACATCTGTATCTCAACAGCTTGGCCGTCGTTGGTGTACGGTAGATTGTTGGCAGCCTTTTCAACTGTGACTGGGGCAGACAACTCAGTCTTTGCCCGGCCTCCATCGAGTCCTAGAGCCATACAGCATTGAAACAGACCCTTTGGTCCAACCAGCCCATGCCGAACATGTTTCCAAAGTAAACTAATCCCACCTGCCTGCGCTTGCAAAAACCTTTCCTATTCAAGAACTTATCTAAATGTCTTTTCAACATTGCAAACATTCCTGCATCCATCACTTTCTCTGGCAGTTCATTCCACACATGAACCACTCTCTGTGTAAAAAAAGTTGCCCCTCATTTCCCTTTTAAATCTTTCTCCTTTCAATTTAAAAATATGGCTCCTAGTTTTGAACTCCCCCAACCTAGAGAAAAGATTCTTGTCATTCATCTGGTCTCGCTCCCTATGATTTTACAAACCTCTACAAGGTCAACCTTCAACCTCCTACACTCCAATGAAAAATGTTCCAGCCTTTCCACTCTATTTTTATAACTCAAACCTTCTATTTCCAAGAACACTGTGGTAAATCTTTTCTGAACCCTTTCCAATTTTAATGGGTGATGAGAAGTGGACACAATATTCTAGCAGAGGCCTCACCAACATCCTCCACCATCTCAACACGATGTCCCAAATCCTGTACTCAAAGTCTGATCAATGAAGGCAAGCGTACTCAATGGTCCTGGATGGTCCCACTCTCCAAACCCCATCCCCCCTCCCACCACCCCACCCAACCTTCAAACAAGTTGCAGAATGGAAGATGCCATTCTAGCTTGGGACAGCAGATTTTCTGAAGAAGAGTCTAGACCCGAAATATCAGCTTTCCTGCTCCTCTGATGCTGCTTGGCCTGCTATGTTCATCCAGCTCTACACCTTGTTGTCTCAGACTTTTGCCCCCGCTGATTTAATGATTGCTTAATAGATTATTCATTTTGCGCAATTAATTGCAACACTGACTTGGAGGAAGTGTAAAAAATGTTGCAAAATTCTTAACCCCAGTCCCAAGTCACCTCCATCGAAACAGGGGTTGGTACTGTATCTGCAAAATAGCATGCCCCCACTCTAGCCCTTTCTCCAAGTAAGTACCGGAGCCTACTAATTGGACAAGCTCAATTTGCAGAGATAATCGGATCAAAAGTATTGCCAATTTAATGTGTGATTATAATCAGGACAAGTCCAATATTATCAGTAAAGGTAAAATTGCTATAGTCGTACTAGACCATAGGGCTGCTTTCTTATTAGAGAGAGAGAGAGAGAGAGATGACTGGTGCTAGTTTAACCTGAGGGTCACCATGCCTTGGGTGAAGGGAGAGGTTGAGAAGGGGAGACTGTCATTGTAACTTTAGCTGGTGCAGTAATTAAACCCACGTTGTTGGCATCAGTCTGTATTGCAAACCAGGCATCCAACCAACAGCTAACTGACTCCCCTGCAAGTCCAATAAGAAGGCTGGAAAAGCCATGAGTAAAGAATGTTACAATTTCTAGGGTCTGGACTGAAGTCACAAGAGGGAACTTACATTTATATAGCACCTGTCACAATTTCAGAACGTCTCAATATTCTTCACAGCCAATGAAGTACTTTTCGAGAGTAGTCACTTGTAATCTGGGAAACGTAACGGATTCTTGTGCACAGTGACCTCCCATATACTGACATGACATAAAGGACCAGATAATCTATTTCATTAATGTCAATTGAGGGATATCGTTCTGGCCATGAAACCAAAAGGTCACTCATTTGCCCTTCTTCAAGTAGTTATTTAAATTTACAGCCCTTTAAAATGATAATGTAAACAAACTGAATCTGCCAGTTACAGTTTAAAGAAAACATTGTCTGCTAGACTGCTTTGAATGACAGTCCAGCATGTGTATGTTAGGAAACGAAAATCTGTTCCTACAGTTTCGATATCCCCATTTACAAGGGGCTGTTATTACAGCTGAGGTAACTATGAACGCTCTGCTGAGTTTCAAAAGCTTGAAATGCAAATATCTCAGCATGGAGGGGTGTCTCCGAATTTTCATCTTCATTGATAGTTTAAAGGGACTACTAAAGGATTCAATATCTTTGATAGGTAGCTGAGTATAAGTTTGATTTTACCATAAATTGATATCTTGAGCTGATTAAAAACCTTATAATGGGTTGAATGATTGAGTTTGCTTCCCCACCAAGTGTATATGAGTATAAGCTTTCTTGGATTGTTAAAGTTTTGATTTTTTCAGCTCGGTATGGCACTTGAGATCTGCCCCTGGTGGATAATGGGTGAGTGGCTATGGAGTTGCATGGGGCTAGGGGGTAGCATGGAGGGGTATGCATGCATGAATATGCATGAAGGGTGCACGGGAATTTGACTGGGGGCGTGAGACAGGAACAAAGGCTAGAAAGCCCAATGCCTTCTAAAACAAATGGGCCAAAGACAGACAAGACTGAGGTGTGCCTTGTGAATAGCCCTCACTGCCCCATGACCACCTATGATCTGCATTTGGGATTGAGGAGCCTGGGTATATCCTGTTGCCCACCTTACCAGAGCAATGATTGGCTCTAATGAGACCCTTTAAATGAATCTACAGGGTTAGAAAATGTGCTGACAGGTTCTCTGCCTTGGCAGTGAAGAGCACGCACATTCTATCTTCAAGATGTGATAAGCAAGTGAGGATTCAGAAGAGATTTATCAGAATGTTGCTGGGTATGGAAGGTTTGAGTTATAAAGAAAAGCTGGATAGGCTGCGACTTTTTTCACGGAGCATAGGAGGTTGAGAGGTATATTATAGAGGTTTAGAAAATTATGAGGGGTTTAGATAGGGTCTTTTCCCCAGAGTGAGTGATTTTAAGACTAGGGTTTTTTTTTAAAGTGAGAGGAGAGAGATGTAAAAACGACATTGGGGCAATTTTTTTTTTTACACAGAGTGTGGTTCGCGTGTGGAATGAACTTCTGAGGAAGTGGTGGAAGCAGGCACAGTTACAAAGACACTTAGGTAAGGACATGAATAGGAAAGGTTTAGAGGGATATGGGCCTGGAGCAGGCAGGTGGAACTACTTTAGCTTGGCATTATGTGCAGCATGGATTGGTTGAACCGAAGGGTCTGTTTCCATACTGTATGACTCTATGAAAATGCCACCTCTGAGCCATTGCCAAGTATATGGAGTTATGATTGCATGAGAAACTGAGAGGTTGGGCCTATTGCACATTCAGCAGAGAAGGAGGGACAGACAGAAAAGAACTGTTGTTGTAGCTAGCGACTTTTATCAGTCTTACTATGAAATAATTCTAGTTCTAGGTATATAATTGTATTTATGGTGTTCTGCAGAAGTTTAAAACTGTGTTACTTGATGCATGCACTCCCCCAGCTTGATCCAAAATGGCTGTCCTGCACCTAACATAAATTGTGTGCCTCAACATTGTACTTTTCTCTTCCCTAGGGTTCAACTCACAACCATCTCCAGGGGATCATAACAAAGTTGCTGCGACCAGTAAATCAGACGGTTATTGTACTGGGAAAAGAACACGGCCTGGTTGTAAGTAATTGAATGGAGGGAAGGAAAAGAGAAATAAAATCTCTTCTGGGATCCCTGCTTAACTTGTGCAAACCCTGTTGGTGAACTCTGCTTCTGTCATATGTTCAAAGGGTTTCAGTATTGCCAGCAAAGTATAGGGTGAGCAGTGTACACTGTGGGTGGCATGGTGATACATTGGTTAGCACTGCTGCCTCACATTGCCAGGGACCTGGGTTCAATGCCAGCCTTGGTCAGCTGTCTGCGTGGAGCTTGTCCATTTTCTGTGTGGGTTTCTGCTGGGTGCGCCGGTTTCTTCTCACATACCAAAGACGTACAGTTTAGGTGTATTGGCCATACTAAATTGCCCATTGTGTCCAGGGATGTGTAGGTGTGGTGGGTTATCCATGGTTTAAAAATGCCATGTGGTGCTGCGGGGATGGATGAGTGTGGGTGAGATGTGCTTTGGAGGGTTGGTGCAGGCTCGATGGGCTGAATGGCCTCTTTCTGCACCGATGACTCTATTCTATGACTCAGACAGCAAGAGTACCTCTCCTTTTGTACTGTACGTGGTGCGCAATGGCCCCAAGCATATGGGGAGTACATATTTTCTCACTATTTTCTGAAGAGTTTGATGATGGGATATTGTGCAAAGCCCAATGATTAACAAGCAAGCATGTGTAGCATGGATATGGAACGAAAATCCGAGAATCTTCCTTGACATTTTGGGCTCAAATCTTTTCCAGCTGGATAAGCCCTGATTAACAGAAACAAAATATGGTCTGGTCTCAAATTCTCAACATATCACCAAGTAAACAAAATTGTAACATTCCAGTTCCTGTTTCCATAGAAACAGCAAGCTTAAAAATGTTCCTTCGTATTTTCTCCAGCGAAAGCCTTGATCTGGGGGTGGGTGCTACATCTGCTCTGGTTTATGTGCTCCTGTTTCCTGGGACAGCTGGGAGTTTGTAAAATCAAAACAATGCTTCTCACAGAAATCACGGACTTTGACAGGGTGAAGCAGGAATTTGCTGCTGGGCTACGTTTGACTCACCTTTGGAGCCTTGAAGGCACCATAATTATTTATATCTGTGTATCTCCACAAGCGTGATCCCAGAGTGTGATCTATTGTGGCTCCCTGGGTGGACACAAGTTAGCTTTGATCCTTGCCGTTAAGGTGGAACAGTGTTTAATGTTCCATCCCTTTAAGGCTGCTGGTGGCCTCCTGGCACTCTGCATCAACCCCAGGCTCAATCCACATATACTCCAGCCTCAAGAGTTGAGGTTAGAGAACAGGGCTGCAATCCCAAAAAAACACAGAAAAGCTAAACACTGCAGATGCTGGAAATCTGAAGTGAAAATGAAATGGAAATTCTCAGCTGGTTAGGCAGAATCTTTGCAGAGAAACAGCAAATATTTTTGTTAATAGAATTACCTCTGAGCTTGATGTATTGTAGCGGTGTGACTAATTGGGTATATCTTGCTATGTGGCATGGTAGCTCAGTGGTTCACTCTGCTGCCTCACAGTGCCAGGGACCCACGTTTGATTCCAGCCTCAGGCGACGGTCTATGTGGAATTTCCACTTTCTTCCGGTTTACTTTGGGTGCTCTGGTTTTCTCCCACAGTCCAATGATGTGTTGGTTGGGTGGATTGGCCAAGCTAAACTGCCCGTAGTGCCAGAGATGTGCAGGTTAGGTGGGTTCAGCATCCAGGTCAAAGCAGCCCGCTTGATTAGAACCACGTCAACTCCCTCCACCACCGACATTCAGTAGCCACCCTGTCTACCAAATGCACCGCAGAAATTCACCAAAGCTCTTTAGATAGCACCTTCCAAACCCACAACCACTTCCAACTAGAAGAACAAGGGCAGCAGACACATGGAAATACCAACATCTGCAAGATCTCCTCCAAGCCACTCATCCTCCTGACTTGGAAACGTATCACCGTTCTTTCACTGTTGCTGGCTCAAAATCTTAGAACTCAATCCATAACAAAATTGTGGACTGCTGTGATTCAAGAAGGTAGCTCATCACCACCTTCGCAAGGGCAAATAGGGATGGGCAAGAAATGCTGGTACAGCCATTGATGACTTATGATTGGATTTTCTAATGTTCCACTTAACCAAGTTAAACTATCATGTCTTAAAATTATTTTCCTTTTGTCAACTTTTTGTCTACTTTGGATCTGTTGGATTACTTTATTAAATTAGCCCTTAATTTCCATTATTCTTGGTGGTTCTCAGTTTACTCTAAGCATAGATACTTCTTTAAAAATAATATAAAATGACACCTTTGGGGCACTCAACGGGACTTTCTGCATCTCGACACTCTGCTGGAGTTCTGGAACATATTGCCTGAAAGGGTGGTGAATGCAGTAAGCCTCAGCACATTTAAAAGATACTTAGACATGCTTGAGATTCCATAAATCTATAGACCAAGGGTTCGGCTGAATAATTCTTTTTCGAACAGCACAGACATGATGGGCCAAATAACTATGTACAGTTCCTTTGAGATGTTGAAACCTGTTCAGATGGACATTAATGATCTCTTGTACTAATTGAAGAAGTGCTTCTTAGAGAAATTAAATTAAAGAAGAATAAATTAAAGAAACCTTCTTAAAGCTCATATCTGACTGTGTATTGGGCCAGGCCTCTTCAGTCTCTCCCTCTTATTGATACTGAATTTTGAAGTGCATTGAGGTATTTTGTTTTGTTAACAGTGTCCAAAAATGCTTCAGAGTTTTCTGTTTTGTGTTCTGGACAACATTGACCTCATAACTAATGCAGCCAGAACCAGACTAATCATTAATCCCAATGCTGTTCCTGGAACACTGCTGCAGCATTATAAGTGTTCTATTTGCTTACACACCAGAAATCACTGCAGTCCCCAGAGAAACACATGGTGAAAAGTGCTCTTAAAATTTGGCTTGATAAAATGCCCATGTAAATGCAAATATTTCTTTATTTCTGTGTGTTGATCAGTGAGAACAGCTGACTGATTTGTGTGCAATGAAAAGCCATCAAAATGACACAGTTTCAAAAATATCATTGCTTAAATGTATTTTACAGGTCTATTCAATAACATATAAAGAAAAGTCTTATTCCTGTATAGACAGTATACAAATTCACCTGCACCGCATATGCCTATTACACAAGTGTTAGCCTCATTTACGAGGTAAGACACACCCAAAAATTAGCATCACATGTAACACAAAACTATTTGTTATTTTACTCCCATTTGCACATTTCAAAATAAACTTTCATATTTTCATTTCTTTCTAATAACTCTGATAGTTCTTTCTTCTCTTTGGCACTTGTATTCTTTTCTACTGAAGGACCACTGTTCAACCTCTTCTATCTCCAACAACTCTTCAGTTCTTCATTTGTGAGTCTGCACAGAGAATCTCAGCTAGTTGCTGAACTGTGAGGGTTGAGATAGGGAGAACAGACATCGCAGTCGAGCTCAATCCTCCTCTCCCCAGGTATCCACTCATACAGCATGTTCCAGCAGGACATGAACAAGTGCTTAGAGGTGACACCTTCTCTACCCCAAGGGCTCCAAAGTCAATTGTAGTTCACTTACAGTCACCACCGTGAACATTAATTAACTTGATTTTGCATCATACAGGAAACCTTTCAATTGTGTTCTGTCTTTATCATCGTGATTCTGTTTTTTTAATATCCAATGTACAAACAATGTTTGTGCATAAGAAGCACCCATGTACCTGTACGCATTTTAGAGCATATAAGCCGCAATATTTTGAAAGCTTCTCTGATGCGGAGCCTGTTCCCAAACTTTGAGGAGCATTAGATTGTTGCTTTCTTTTCTCATTCAAGAAACTACATGAAATTGAAAATTATTTTTAATCCTAGTAATTCTCGACCTGTTACGAAATCCAAGCTTAGCTTAGCCCAGAACCTTAAGACCTTTTCCTATTTAGGGTGCCTCTTCTAAGCCCATCTTATACTCTCGGGCTAGATATACTCAAACACTTGCCAACTATAAAAAGGATCTGACCAAATTCTCTCATCTTTTATCTCAACCTTTGTTGACTATCTCCATTGCGATAAATATTATAGTCTGCATTCCTCTCCCATTGCTCTTCCTAAGCTCAAATGCAATGGCTTACTGTCTCCTTCTCCTCCTTGCACTGTCACTCAGTCAAAATCAGACACCTTACTTTTCTCACTCTCCTTTTCCTCTTATGATATCCAGGATCCCAAAACACAAACTGTTACCACCTTCATGCAATTTCCTGATTCATTCTATCGTCTTCATTTCCTTGAGAATTGATCTAGCTTTGGACTAGGGCCCAGTTATTTACCTGTGATTCTTAACAGTAATTCTTAAAGGTAACTGTGGGTTTAAGTAAACTTCATAGATTAACCCACTTTACCTTCCAATTATTTTCATTTCACATAGTACAATGCTGAGCCTAACACTAATGTTGCACAAAATATAACTGGTGTCCGAAATAGCCTTGAAGTTATTATACGTGGCTTGAATTTTCTGGAAAGCTGCACTGAAATGAGGAGAGGTTAAAAGCAAGAGCAGCAAGCACTGAGAAACTCAAATAAAACCAGAGAATTTCAGTAAATGCACAGTCGGTCTTCCACCACCTGCATTGGGCAAAAAAACAACACATGGATTTCTGGAACTTTCAACTCTGCTGATATGCATGTTACGAAGAACATAAAATTAATGGCAACGTGTCACGTTTTTAAAATAACTCATGATTTAAGAGTTTGTTCTACAATAATATTCAGTTAAAATTATTCACCACAATGGAAACCTTTTGAAAATCACTGCTTTGGTCACAATGAGAGCTTTGTGCTCAAAAGAAACAAAAGAAGAATTTTACATTGTTTATAACCTTGGGGCCTTTTTTTATTGAGCTGTTTGTAATCTTGTCATTGTGTAATTTGGTATTCTGAGATATCCTGTATTAGTCAATGATGTGTTGGTGATAGTGGGGCAAAACATTCAAAGTGTTCATGTTATATTGTTATGTGTCCTTATTAATG